GTAAAAGCTGATTGCCAGTGGCTGGGTGTTTGTGTTGTTCTGGCCGAATTGAGACAGTGTTTTTCTAACCATAAGTGCCGGGTCTTAATGGAAAACTAAAGGGGAGAACCGAAGCTTATGTGTGTGTATATAAATATATATGTGTGCGCGCTGTGAGATTGTAAGGGCTGGAAAAATTTTCAGATATGAATAAGGGGCTTTTAGTTTGGTCAAGTGCATTTGCGATAGCCCTGTTTTGCTGCTTGAAACGGGATTGTGCCACTGGTCTTGAGGTGTAGGATTCTGAAGTATTTAAGGGGAGAAAAACCGTGAAATATATATATTATATGCTTGCAACCGATCATAAAAGGGGCTATAGGAGTTTACTCCCTCTTGTTTGGGCATAAAATGTTCTTTAGAGTTGCTGTTTAGGGTGGAGGCGAAAGGGAGTTATAGTTGTACGTGTGGAGTTGAAATAATCAAGTAGAATAAATGTGATATATATATATATATATATATTTATGTATATGTGTGTCTCGGTCATAGTTGTAGGAATTGATTTTGTACAGTTAAATGGTTTTGGAACATGAAAGTAGAAAGGAATGAGCTTGAGGAAATTATTTAATCTTAATGTTTTGAGATGTAAATAGTTAGGGGTTGTAAGTTGAGTTGCGGACATTGTCCTTAAAATATAATAAATAAAAATAGTATTTTTGACCAAGATGACCAGTTACTAAGTAAAGTAACTGTATGGTTTGAGATAAGGAAGGAAACCCTCCAAAGAGAATAGTTTAAATAAGAAAAATTGTCCAGGATGACCAACTATTAAGTGAGGGTAGAGATTGAAAGAGATTGGGATTTAAAGAGAGTTATTTAATTTATAAATTCTGTTGGATCAAGCATTAACCTACCCTTACTAAAATAATAGGTTTTGATATCTGCAAAAGCCCACCGAAGAAGCTAAGAGAAAGGAAACAAGTAAGGTTTGATTTTGAAGCAGAAGGTTCAGGTAGTAGTTCTTTCCTACCTTACACTTGTGTATGATTGCTGCATGTCTGTTTGTGCCATATTACTTTTCTAAAGCATGAGAACATGTAATCCTTAATTCCTTGCATGGATTTTTAGCCGTGACCACGTGCAGCTGATAAACATGGGGCAGTGATTGCCAATTATTTGCGCGGCAGTGATTGCCAATTATATGCGCGGCAGTGATTGCCAATTATTAGCGCATTATTTATTCAGCTTGTCTAATAGACATGGGGCAGTGATTGCCAGGTATTTGCGCATTATTTATTCAGCTTTTCTATCTGTCATTGCGCATAAATGCTTAATTGCATTAGCTTGCAAGGTTATGTTCCACTTTGGCTTGTTTTGCATGCTTTATGTGATCTGCACATTTGTTTGATGGAAATTACTACTACGGGGATTCGTTCGAATCTCACCCTCCAATTTATGATGAACAGTGAAAGCTAGTAGCCCGAAGGATAAGGAGGTTGTTTAAGAAGAAGGTGGGCTGGTTGAAGAGCAGAGATACCTGTTATAATTCTGTAAATTGTATAGCAAAATATATGGGCAAGTAACTTTACTTGCTCTATGGAAATATTATTTTGTATCCTCTAGAAGAAGGAAGTGAGCATTGCCAGGTATATGCTGTCAACCAAGAGTGTTGCTTTATTTTTAATATAATATTATAAGATTGTATAGTATGAAATTATTTTAGATGATAATAGATTAAGTTGAAAGCAGGGTGGATATTGGATCACTCATCAGTTATCTGAAGGTTTGAAATATTTGATCAACGGATTCCAATGTTGAAGGAAAAAGGGAAAAAAAAAATTCCCTGTCTTTTTCCATGAAGGAAACCTGGCGTTGCGTTAGTGTTTCACAGACATTAAAATGATCCTATTAGTATATAAAAGTGAGGTGTTGCAACGATTAAGTGAGTACAGTTTCACCAAATTACTTTGCAGATTTTGGAAAATGGAAACTTTGAAGGAAAGGCTTTTCAACATCATCAATCATTGGTTTGTGAAGTCATTAGAGTGCAGAGCTGCTTTCTTGAACTTGCTTGATTTTCCCGAACACCAATACCCCTTTGATTTCATTAACTGTAGGTCAAAAATCGTCAACACTCATAGTTTGTCACAATTAACAATTTAATTATTATCATTCATATATATAGTTGACCGAAAAATCTACTTCCTTTAATTCTAAATATTTTAAAAAGACAAATAGATTATAATTAGTTGATTTTTTTTGGTAATAATTAATACGTAGAGAGTTACTTTGACTTCAAAAATTTGTTTAAGGATCGGTGCAATATATCTTCAGTGGGCACAACTCTATTTTAGCTATGTATAACCTATATTTAATTAGATGCAAAACAGAAAACATTTTTGCATATCTAAGGTTATATTGCACATAATTGAAGAAGAGTTCTACTCCCTTTAAGTCCTAAGTTCTTAGATATCTTTGGGCAATAATTTTTGTTAGGAGGAAATTTTTTAAGAAATGTTTTTTTTATTATTTAAGTATATATATCTGTATATCTTATTATCACACTTGTCATCAGGAGGAAAAAGTGCTTATTTTAAAAAAAAAATTTGAAAGGAAATTCACATGCTGAAATTTAGTATATATAGTGAACTGTTAATTAATGTGTATGACTTTGCAGATAAATGGATGCATCAAATCAAGATCCAAGAAATCCTCCTCAAGGATCTAGTCGCCCCCAATTACGGAGGGTCAGATCAGCTGAATTTAGAAGACCTTCCCATAACTTTTTACAGGTATGGAGGATTATTATTGAAATTACAAAGGATTCAATTCATTTTTCTCTAATTATATAGATTTTTTAATATAGCAATTTGACAGCATCAAATTTGAGTATTTTTTAGTCCAATTGGAGTATTTCTTCCAAAGACATTTTTTTGCATTGACACAAACTCAACCAAAAAATCTACCCCATTTTAGCCCTAAATATAATGTCTTTTAACTACTCCACAGATTTCAAAAAGAAAGGTAGGTAAGTTGACGTTTTAATTGTAATTAATACGTAGAGAGTTAGTTAATTTTAATAATTTTTTCAAAAACTAATTTTATGATTAAAATTTAATGTGTAAAGATAAAAACCAATAAATAAGGATATTATGGGAATGAAAATTTAAGAGTTAATACAATTTTTGGTCTTTCAAGTTTTGTTCTCATTTTGGTTTGCATCTCTCAAATTTTTACCGTAGGTTTTTATCCATCAAATTTCTTTTTATTTAAAACATTGGTCATTGTAATTCCATAAAAAGCTTGACCATTTTGTCCCTTGAAGGACTAAAACTTATGATTTAAAACTTGATGGAACAAAACCAAAATGAGGACAAACTTGAGGAATCAAAAATTATATTAGACCAAAACTTAATAAAGGAGATTAGGGGGGAAACAGTCCTAGCAAAACAAAAACTATCGAATGGAGACATTTGGAATGTGAGGGGGTGCGCGCGCACGTGTATATATATTTGTATCGGTGCGTATTGTGGAAGTATCTACATGTGTGTTTTTTCCTTTAAAAAGAGTGAACTTGCATCAACCATCCTAAAATATTTTTTCAGGGGGCATCCAGTATGTTAATTTATTTTGTGGTGCGTCCAGCAGTTCAACACCCTAAAGATTTTTTGGCACAATTTTACACTTGGCATTTTTTAGTGCTAGATATACCAAAAAAATAATTTAGAATACTGGATGCACCTAAAAATATTTCAGGATGCTAGATACATTAAAATATAATTTAGGACGCTGAATATACCTAACAAAATACTTGGAGGTACTGGATATAGAATGCACGTAAAATATTGAATGCATTTTAACCAAAAATAAGATTGATAGAAAAATCATCATGATGATACTGAATATAATGAAGTGTTAATTAATATGTAGAATTTTGCAGATAATGGATGCATCAAATGGTGATAGTAACTCCCTATTACGAAGGGTGGAATCAGCCGTGTTCAAGAGACCTTCCCTTGTCCTTCTACAAGATACACGTAATTAACTACTCCCTCCATTTTCTCTAATGTCAAATAAAACACTAAGGCGTTCAGTTATTTTTATGGTTCCTCACGATTTTCCTATAATAATAAAAAAAATCAATTTAATATGCATAATCAAATATATATCCTTTGATACTATAAGATAAAGTTTAAATTATGTTCCATTTTACGTTTATCTATTCGTGCACAAGGCAACAAAATGATATAAAAACATACATATCTCATCCTTACAATCTTAATTTCTTTTTCATTATTTATATTTTCACATATATTTTAACCTTTTTGTTTGGTAGTATTTCAGCAGCGTTTTGTCTACTTAGTAGTGTATTTTCATTGCAAATTTTGGGGATGAATATCTAATAAACTACTGACTGAAGAAGGGGGATTGGCAGGGGCGATGGCTCCCTCATTTTTCAAATTTTTTTATTAATATTATACGTGTTAAGCGTTTTTGTAACACACAAAAAATTTGTCCTATATAGGGTTAAGATTCTCTAACACCCTAAGTCATTTAATTAGTAGTTGATACAACACCCTGCAATATTTGTTTAGGCGTGTTTAACATCTTAAAATTTTTTGTGATTTATCCATCACTTTATAATATGTTTTTAGTTGCGTTAAATACCCTAATTTATGGGTTTAGTGTATTCATGGTAATAGACACACTTGAAAAAATATGACATTGTGTAAAATGAACTACAAAATGCTTTAAAATACAGGATAAACTTGGAAAATATTTCAAGGTGATTAATGAACCATTAAATAAATGCTTTAGAGTGTTGGACACACCTAAAAAAATATTTCAGAGTGTTAGATCAACCTTTACCTACTACACATAACCAATTTTATCTTAGCTGAGCCTCCTTATGCGTAAATTTTGGCTCTCTATAAAAGATGATCGTTCCCACAAATAAGTCACATCCCAACAAATTAATATGAGAATTTCACAATGAAATCACTTTCGTTTCAGCTGAGGCCAAAATGATGTACTTGAAATTATTTGTGCCTCTTCACAAGTATGCATCTGAAGGCAATTGGGAAGAAGCTAAGGTCATATTAGGTCAAAATAGAACGCTTCTGAGTGCTGCCATAGCAGAAGCATGGTTAACAATGCTTCATGTAGCAGCAGGAGCAGGTCATTTTCCCTTTGTGGAGGAGCTTGTGAACATGGTGGAAGAGAACCAAATAGACTTGGATTTACAAGACTCAATGGGAAACACTGCCTTCAGCTTGGCTATTGTTGCAGGAAACTTGGAGATTGTTCAGTTAATGTTAGGAAAAAATTGCTTCTTACCAAAAATAAGAAGTCGAACAGGCTTCACTCCTATTCTTTTTGCTGCATTACAAGGAAGAGCTGATTTGACAAAGTATCTATATCCTTTCACTGTTGATGAAAATTTTGAAGAAGTAGAATGGAATAAGTTATTCCTCACTTGCATTGACTCTGGTATTTATGGTAAGTATATATTGCCTACGAAGCACAAATACACTTAATTATTATAAGTGAAGTATAAGTAGGGCACAAATAAGTATTTAGTACAAACAAAATGAAAAAATAACATCCTTTGTGAATTATTTGAGCTTGATATGTAGCTCTATGTTTATTAAACTGTCTGACAACTTCTAATTTTAGAATTTGCATTTCTGTTGATAACTGTTTCATAGATTTGGCATTGCAAATGTTGAAAGAAAAAGGAAAACTAGCATTTGCAAGGGATGAAGATGGCATGACAGGTTTACACATCATGGCTCAGACAGCAGATTTGGGAACTTATAGGCCAGAACATCAAATTCAACTCACAAGTTCAGGTAAATTGATTAGCATTTTAACTGCCTGTTTGGAAGACTAAAAAAGCTGGTCTTAACAAGTGATCTATTAATATTCTACTCCCCCCTCCCAACAAATATTTGTCAATATGCATCTAGTATATTGCCTAACTTCTAACTGGGCATATTCAATTTATCAAATTATATACCCTAGGTACGAAGAATGGTGTTGCCCTTGACCTTGTTCATCTCCTATGGGAAGAAATCCGCAACAGTGTAGGCTCAAATGAAATATGAAGAAACTCATAAATGAACCATCAGGACTACTATTTGATGCAGCAAAAGTTGGAAACCTTGACTTTTTAGCTGCACTTATAAAGTCTTGCCCTGATTTAATGTGGCAGTTGGATGACAAAAGACAAACTATAATTCATATTGCTGTTTTATATCGTCATCCTAAAATCTTCAATCTCATCCATGATATAAGCGGAAGAAAGGATATCATGTTGTCATATAAGGACAAAAATAGTGGAAACATTATATTACATTTGGCCGCAATGTTAGCACCAGCTAATCGACTTGAATTGATCTCTGGAGCAGCTTTCCAAATGCAGTTTGAACTATTATGGTTTGAGGTACTTTTTCATTAGTAAATATGAAATGATTTAGATGATCCCAAAAACTAGAATATTTACATGAATTGATTTATGAACAATTCCTTGATATGGCAGGAGGTGAGGAAGATAGTGTTGCCCTCATATACGAAGAAGAAAAACTCAGAGGACAAAACCCCTGGTGAGTTATTCACTGAGGAGCATGCTGCATTACGTAAAGATGCTGAATCATGGATGAAAGGAACAGCTAAGTCATGTATGCTTGTTTCAACTCTTATTGCTACCGGTGTGTTTACTGCGGCATTTAGCACACCAGGTGGTATTAAGGATGATACAGGAGTTCCAAATTATTTGGGAAAACGATCATTTACGATATTTGCAATATCAGATGCCATTGCAATGATCTCCTCTTCGGCTTCCATACTAATCTTCTTATCCATTCTCATATCACGTTATGCAGAGTATGACTTTCATCATTCTCTACCCTCAAAGCTAATATTCGGATTGATAATTCTCCTTCTTCTCTACCGGGGATCGAACTGGCGACCTGTAAGGCAGCTTCGAACATCAAAGCTAAACCGCGAGGCCGACAATCACCGGTTTCGGATTGATAATTCTCTTCATCTCCATAACAAGCATGATGATAGCATTTAGTAGTACTTTCTTCGTGACATATGACCGTGGCTTAAAGTGGGTTCCTATCTTCATCTCAGCTCTTTCTTTTTTACCAGTAGTCATATTTTTACTTTCACAATTTGAACTTTTTTTGGATATCATTTACTCAACATTTTATTTAAGATGTCTATTCAAGCCAAGCACGCATATGCTTTACTAGTAAAATAGAGGCTATTTTAAGTTCTTGCACCTAGTGTATATTTTGCTTGTTACTTCAATTTGTAATCTCTCTCTCTCTCTGTATATATGTTAGCCCTACTTAGATTTGGCAATGTGTAATTGTGCGTGCAGAATTTCTAAAGAAATGATTTGATATCTGTAATGACAGTAAGATACTTGGCACATTGCTTGCCACTACCCAAAAAAACTGTCTTTACAGTTGTTACTTTGTAGGGGTTCTAAAAAACTGCTAAGAAGTGCATAATTTGCAGTGGTTTCAAGTCAAATCACTACAAATTTGCAGTTTCTTTTCTTCTTTTTTTTAACTTGGAAGGAGTTTGTGTCATCTTTAGTAGTGGCTTTTGGAGCAATTAGTGCCACATGGCGCCAACTGGGCATCATATCTATATTGGTCAATTTGTAGCGATCAGTTTATAACGGTTTTGTCAAATAGATGTACACGATTGGAGGGCCTTTAAGTAGCTTTTTGGGGGTAGAAGCATGTTTGGTACTTTTACATATGTTTGGCATCACTTTTGATCAATTTGGCTTTTGAAGCAAAAGTGGCTTAAAAGCATAAGCCAAATGGAGTTGCTTTTGGCTTATTCACTGTTCAGGGAGAACAAAATATATCATGAAGAAGGAGAAAGGTCTTGAAGTGGGTCCTATCTTGCTTTGATGAAAAAAATAAAATTACTTCAAAAGATTCAATAATTGATGTTTATAACAATATTCAAAGAAAAAATTAAATAATAAAATTGAAGAAAACTTAGGGAAAAGTTCCCATTGGAAATTTAATTGGTAAGACCATGACTTGATAAATTTTTATATACACTAAGCATTAGTATTCTGGGAATTTCATACACACAAACTTGCTTATTATTTAATAAAAGTTATACTCAGTTTGATAATTTTACAAACTAAACTTCTCATTCAATCATAATCCAAACAACTACTTTTACAAAGTAACTTATTTATAAAAAGTTATAATCCAAATGTAAATCACATTACCTAATCTAATTTTTTTGAAAAAATAAAATTAAAAATAAACTACATTTTCTACTATCAATTCAAACGGGTCCTAAAATATTTGTGAAGTCAGTGCTTTTGCATAATAATGTTTATCCTCCTCGTAGAAGGCCCATTGGGCCTTTTTCATTTGATGCAATGTCATGATCAGTTTTTGTTGTAATACAAACGGCAAGGTCATTTTCATGGGTTAGACTACGCGTAATGTGATAATTGGGCCAGCCTAATGTCACAAACCCCAACCAGTAGAAGAAATAAGTATGTTCTCACCTAAACTTTTTCATAACCAAAAAAAAATTGCCCTCCTAGCCCAAAAAAATGTATCTTCTCAACTAAATTTTCTTTTACTTCCTAAGTCTATTATTTCTGTTGCTTCAAAGTAATCAAACAATGATACTTCTTACCATCATTACTATAAACTTCAAATAATTGATTTGCATATAACTAAAAATCAGTTAAAAGTAATTAAAAATATTTCCTCTGTCCTTTTTCATAATCAACAGCTATCATCTACTACTTGTCTTTAAATTTAAGCAATATTTACGAGTTATCTTAAATTTTTGTATCAAAATTCCTATTTAGCACTCTAAACCATCACTTCTCTCCATCACATATTCTCTCTCTTTCATAATTCTCTTTATTGTAATAAATTTCTTATTTTCTTTCTTATACTTTCTCTCCCATAAATAAGGGTATTTTGGATAAAGAACTTCTAATTTCTACTCATTTATTATCTTTAACCACTTTTAACTAACGTTTTGATCTACGTGATAGAATCTAGAGTTGCTTATAAAAAGAGACGGAGGGAGTAGTAAATAGGTTAGAAATATATTTTTATTTTCATATATGCCCTAAAAGAATGATGATGAAAAAGAATGTATAACAAAATGTAAATAACAGAGAGCATGGCAAAACAAAGAGAATAAATAATCAAGAATAAAATTTTAAAAAAACACATTAAATGTTAGAACAAACCTAAATTGAATATTATAAAATGGACTACACTCCTTCTTAAATTTGAAACTTATAAATAGAATTAAAGGCAGTACTTAAGTTTTGCACCACAATCCTGAAATTTGTTTTTAGTAGCACTTAATATTTAGCATTCTAAATTATTTTTCCAGTAGCACTCATAACTTTTTTTTTACAATTTTATTCTTAAAATATTTTTCTCAATATCAACAAGCACTCTAAACTTAGAATATTCAATATTAATAGAAAAAATATTTGTAGGTTTTAAATGTTAACTAATCCTTTATTTTATATGGTAAAGTGTATTTTTATTACCTTAATACTACCTCTGGTCTTTAATATAAGACCTAGTTTGGCTTTTATTTTGGTCCTAATTATAAGACCCTAATCCACATTGTCTCTCATATTTATCCATATTTTTCCAAGATAGTCCGTTTAATAATGTTAGTTCTAGCCAAAATATTTGATTAGCAAGGATATTTTAAGAAAAACAACACCTATTTATTACAAATAACTAAATTAACTTATTTCCTTAATCTCCTCAAATTAGTCAACTAATTCTTATAATTAGGATCGGAAGTAGTAGTATTTAATGTTTTACTTTATTTCAAATTTTATTTTTTGTATTGTTAATTAAAAAATATTTATATTTTTGCATAATTCCATCAAATTAAAATATTCTCAAAAAGGTTCTATGTGGACTAGATCACCATTAGGGTAGCATAACGAAATTATTAATTAGCCAGGACAGAGAATAAATTAGAATATAAAAAATTAAGGGAGAAAAGTAAACTTCTAATCAAATTAGGAAAAAAAATTAAAACTAAATCAAATTAGAAGTTGAAAACAAAATCAAAGAGAAAAATTAAGTGAAAAATCAATAATATACCTTAGCCTCTATAAGTTGTGATTTTCAGAGGGGAAAATTTCATTTAGCCCCTCTTAAGCATTTAATTTCCAATTGACCCTATAAGATTCTAAAAAATCATTTCAGCATATTTGACCAAAATGAAATTAAATATTATAGGTAAAAATATAATTATGCCCTTGTATTTTTTTTCCTTAAAAAACAACCTCGCGGAAGCTCCAGTCACAAGCCGATCAAAGCTCTAACATATGGCCTCCAGTGGCCATTTGCTAGAGCTCTGGTTGTCGACTTTTTTCTTAAAAGAAATTAGGTGGCCAAGGAGGGGTTTGAACCCATAACTCCTTGGCCACCTTATTTTTAAAAAAAAAAAATAGTAGGGGTTAACTGAAATTTTTCTTTTTTATAATCCATAAAAATACAACTTATTTTGTTTAGACTTTGTGCAGTATGAAGAAAAACATATCATCTAGATTTATGTACGTTGATTTTATTGCATTTCACAATATAAAAACTAACATGTTGATTATAGGATCCAATATCACAACATTACATATTATTTCATTTTATCCACACTACAAACGGTACGTAGATAGATAAATCCCAAAAACGCAGGCTTTGTTTAGGAAGATGTATTAATTAAGCACTCTTATTTAAGGAAAGTCAACATATAATTAACAAAACATATGAATTGAATAACGAAATCTGCTCCCCCTTCCAAAAATAGTATCAAAGGTCCCACCTCCACGTGAAGCTGCATGTAAATTAATTAGGATGAAGAATTAATACAATCAGAGATATTTTAATTAAGAAGAACATAGCTATATATGTAAACAAAAACAAAAGCCCTAACTGTAAAAATAGAAAACAAAAGAAGGAAGAAGAGGATTTTCAATTACCAGTAGTAATCATTCTCAAATGTTCCCTCGCTTTTTGGGTGGTTTAGTTCGACCATAACCAATACTTTTCCAACAGTATTAGTTCCATTGGAAATCAAAGTATTACCTCCAATTCTTAATATAAGAGCTAGTTGATTGATTTGAATAGATTAAGGAAGTTTGTTAAGTTAATTATCAGGTGTTATCTTTCCTAAAATACTCATGCTAATCATGTGTATTAGTTAAAACTATCATTTGATGGAACGTTTAACATATACACCTACTACAAAGATTACTTTGGAAAAATGGATAAATATAATAGATAAAGAGAATTAAGGTCTTATATTTAGGACGTCAAACTAGCTCTTATATTAAGGACTAGAAGTAGTATTTGAAGAACTCTGTCCAGAATCCATATTCTGCCATGCACCAAGTAGCCACCAACAGCACTAATATTACGTTTGATATTTAATATAAGATCTAGTTGAAGAGTTAGATTCGGTCCCAATTAAATATAAGACCTCAATTAACTTTTTCTCCCATTTTTCTCAAAATATCTAATTCCAATACACATGATTAGAGAGGATAATTAGAGAGGTCAACACACATTTGAGACAAGTTCCTTAATATTTTCAAATTATTTATTTAACCCTTATATATATATATATATATATATATATATATTAAGGACTGGAGGTAGTATACGCACATCATGGGATCTACAATCTTCTGTTTGTGTTTTTGCCTCCAAGATTAACGTATTTATACACAGAAGCTAGCGTATAGGCTCTCTACTGTAATGAAAGTGCACAAAGATTTCAGGGAAAAGCAGATGAAAGTCTTCAAAGTGCAGAAAGATTTCATGGAAAAGCCGATGAAAGTCTTCTGAAAAATTCATCCCAGTTTCTGTTAAATTGTATTGAAGTTTTCTACAATTTTCATAAATAATTAAGATTGCTTACGGTATTTGTTTTGCTTGGCTGGTCGTTTGTTTTGTTTTGTGTAAATTTATATAGAGACTATTCATTATATGAACACACATGCTTGTAATTCAAGTAAGAGTATGTGAGAAAATT